GTAATTTTTTTGATTTGAAATATTTATTTTTTCACCTTATTTTGACTTAATATCGAAGTAACACCATAATTTTCAATCGAAAATTCTCGCGTCAAAATATCAGCTTTTTAAAAAAAGTCGGGGAGTTTTTTGTTCGTTGAAATCTTTTCTTTATGATAAGGTAAAAAAATATATACATAACTATGGTAAATGTTCTCAGAAAATCCAAAGAAGAGAAAAAACTCGAATTCGAATTCTTTTTTAATCACTATGTACAATTTTGAGCTATTTAGTAAAATTGACACTTAAATTACTTGAAAAACGTCAGATTCTATGTTACATTGATAAACAAAAAAATTACAAATCCATAAATCATAAAAATTGCAAGAAACATGCGAAAATAGTTGTTTTAAATATTAAAGATAGGATTTAAAGGGGGGATTTCAATTAAAAAAAGTGCAATTTTTTTTAGTCAAAAAGTTGATTTATTAAATTCCAATTACATTTATGTCATAGAAAATCTCATAATATATAAATAGAAATCTAAATCGTACTATTGAATTTAGATACTTTATACTGATTATTATTATTCATAATAATATTTTAAAATGCATTAATCTTCTTATTTATAGATCTTATGTTGAACCCTAATCACTTATCCATTACTTTTCGTCTCTTCGGTGGCATTTCTTCATCATTAGATTCGACAAACCTTCCCGATTCTAGTAGATCTTCGAAATCTTCAAGACCATCACCGTCTTCGTATCCAATATTATTTTTAGTCTGAATTGGTCCTTCATCCACAATTTCATTTGAATCACTAACTTCCTCGTAGGTTTTTTCTTCCACAATGGTGCATTTTTCAGAAACATTACAATTTGTGCATTTTAAGCCATGTTTTCGGCAGCCACATTTTAAACTGTTACATCCAGTTTCACAGCTGCAGCAAATAGTTTTGAGCAATATTTCCGGAATTAACTCCTCTGTAAATTTGGGCATAATCCCACGTTGATGTTGCTTCCAGCCCCAATCTGTTGCTGTCAGTTCGTTACCTAGCCAAGTTTGAAGTTGATAATATGCCCTGTAACAATGTTGTTCTGCTGCACCTTCTGTGGGTGGGAGATTTGCCAATATGAAAGATGATTTAATTTTTGCCAATTGATATTTTTGAAATCTTAATTGATTCATTTTTACATTTATAAATAGATTTGATTAATTCAATCGGTCATTTTGAAAAGGGGTCACATCCACTTTTTAAAATTTTACAGGAGAGATAAAAAACCTTTAATCTTTAATACTATTTAAAAATAAATTTTTATAAGGTATTGTTTGCTTTAAACATGAACTTTCATGACCATGAATTATTAAAAAATATGATTTGTATTTTAAAAGAGGCTAAAAATTGACATTTTTTGAAAAAGAGATGGCCCGTTTTCAAAATGAACAAGTATTTAAAATCAAAATAGAATATAAATATTGTTTATTTTAAACAACAAAGTGGTATAAAATACATTTTAATATAAAAAATAAGATCTTCTTTCATTTTCCTCCGTTTCTTTAGCGGAGGTAGTAGGCCATTCGCAGATAGTGGTGTAAAATTCCTTGTATTTATCTGGAATATATTGCTGAAGCTTCTTTATATCCTCAATTTTCTTAACATTTACCGGAATTTTCCCTTGATAGGCAGTAAAATTCTGAGGATCGGGCACCATTATTGTCGGAATGCTTCTTTGTAGAGTTTTTAAAAAACATTGGCCAAATTTGATACATTTTTATCATCTAATAATGAATTTACAATACTCTTCTTTCCTTTTCCGACAAATCCAGATGTTGTATCGCAACCAAAAAAATAATGCAGAAATGCAACGATATTTTTGAAGGATTCATATTTAAAACTATTAGACGTGAAAAATAGATCTTTTACATTTCCAGAACCTGGTTTGAGAAAATAAATGTCATGATTATTTGAAGTTAATTGATTCAAAAGGACCAAAAGATCAATATCTTGACCCACAACAATGACAGTTTTATTGGTATCTCTAGCAATTTCTATCGAAGTTTTAATAATGTCTGCATTAGCATCTTCTTCTGCTTGTTTACAGGAAAATCCTTGTGACTGTAATCTTTTCATTAACGTTTTTATTATTTTGTCCTTGTTTTTCTCGTTAGATAAAAATTTTTCTTGCAGAAATGGTATTTTTGTATGGTTTTGATAATCAAACTCTGGAATATTGTCTGAGGTTTTTCTACGACCACGTTCTCCTTTTTTAGTTGAAGTAGCTGATGGTACTGTTGTCACAGTAACTGATTTTTTAATTTCGGGTTACCCATCAAAAACGATATAGCTGCTTGCTGCGTAATGTTTTTCTACATAGCGAAAATATTTATTCATGATTTCTTCCACCGTTTAATTTTTCTGCCAAATTATGCAGTAAAAATCCACCATCGACGACATGCACAATGCCGTCAGAATGCGTTGGTCCATTCGCACTCACAAATAAATCGTAAAGTTGAGATTTAACATTTTTTCTGAGGCCATTTTATGTAAAAAGTGACAATGGATAAGGTGCAAGCTCGTATTGTAAATAAGATTCCATATCTTTTCTAGTGTCAATTGTTAACGATATTCTTTTGAAAAACAATAATGGATAGATTGCTATAATATCTCCGTTTACTTAAACAAAAGATTAAACCGTTTTTAGAGACAAGACTGTAAATTTTACTAAATAGCTCAAAATTGTAGATAGTGATTTAAAAAAAAAATTCGGATTCGTTTTTTTTTCTTTTCTTTACATACATACATACATTTACCATAGTAATGTATATGTTTTTTACATTATCAGAAAGAAGAGATTTTTTAAAAAGCTGATATTTTGACGCGAGAATTTTCGATGAAAATTAGGGTGTTTTTTAGATATTAAGTCAAAATAAGGTGAAAAAATAAATATTTTAAATCAAAAAAATTACAGTGTCTTTAGGACATAAAAAGGTAAGTTTTCACTAAATTTAGTGAAAAAAATTTTTTTTTGCATAAAATAAAAATAAAAAACCAAAAACTTTATTATTTGAATTTTTCACATAAATTTTGAGGTTATGTCAAAAAAGTGTTATTACAAAAGTTGTAGGTCTCTTTATTACCTAAAACTTTTAATTTTTTTCCATAGAACTTGTAGTTTTGCCGGAAATCGAGATACACCATTTTTTACCCTTAAAAACTCATCCTCTTCCACTTTCCGACCTTAGATCGCTCGTAAATTATTTTTTCTTTCATTTTTGTTATATTCTCGTCCTTTTTTAACGGGTTTCATCCTACTATAATTTTTTTTTACTTTTTACCATTTTCAAAATTATGGACCCAGGTCTATACAGCTTTGTTTGAGATTTAATAATCTAATGATCCGTACGGTCACTTCATTGGGTATTATAAAATTTACCGCAACAATGATTTGTATTGACCAATTGGGTCATAGTACCATCACAAGAATAAATAATGATAATAATAATATTAACAGGACTTTATTCGTCACTTCAAAAGGAAAATATACAATAACAATAATTTATGCGAGGAAAAACATTTAAAAATGATGAAAGGGCGAAGTTCAATTTTCACTGTTTTATAACTTAACCTAACAAAAAAAATACATATTTAAATCGTGGAAAAGATAAATAAAAAATTTACAGGTTATTTATTTTTTTTTAGCTAAATTAATTTATAAATTCAATATATTAATATTCATATTCTAAAAGTGGCCATGAATTATTGTTAATAATTGTATTACTTACCCAAGTAACAATAAAAGCTGATTTATTGAGCCTGTTCAGACAATAAGCTGATTAGTAGTTGGTTAAGGGTGTTACACGCTGATTAAGCTACTGACCTGAATAATGAGCTGAATAAGCGTCGAATCAGTCAATATAGATGCCATTATACAGCAACATCGATAGAACTGAACTAAATACTGAATAAGTGCCTCTTCAGCCAACTTGGTAGATATTGTTCAGCAATATGCTTAAGTAGCTGAACATAGGTTGAATAAGCAGTTCCTCAGCTTACTTAATCTGGTGTTGTTCAGCTATTGATTACTAGCTGAATACAGGATGAAGAAGCACTTTTTCTGCTCATGAAATATTTCATTGTTTAGCTATTTTAAAATGGCTGAACATGAGCTGGTAAAGCGCTTTTACAGAAATCTGAACAGCTGTAGTTCAGCTATTCATAGTACAGCTTAGTATGCACTGAATAAACCCTTCTTCAGTAAAGTTAAAAACCATTATTCAGCTATTATTTTTGGCAGAATAAACAGTCTGAAGAAGTACTTGTTCAGCCCATTTTGATGATATTGTTCAGATATACTTGTAGTAGCTGAACAGAAAATTTGATATTCACTTTGTATGCAGCCGTATCATTCAGCGATTTTTAGGTTATGTTTTTTATTATGTCACTTGACTAAACTTTATACAAAGAAATGAATAGGTCAATAAAAAAATATAAAAAAAGTGGAACCTACCATAGAAGATTAAAGAAGAGCCGAGACCATTGCGAAAGCATTCTGAGACAACTATATTCCAGTACAATAAACACAATATCGACGTTACCATCCTGTAGTAGTAATATCATCTCATCTTATTTACACATATATTGTGCGGATGCATTTAACTTACAAATGTTAACATTTTACAATCCAGATGATATATTTTGTAAATTAGTAACCATCCATTATAAAGATAATATTTTTGTTTTTATACCTTTACATCTACAATAGCCAACTATTGACATTGACAACCACCAAAATACGGGTATGTGTAAAAAAAACAAATAAATTTATTATATTATAATAATTAAGAACTGTAAAAAACAACACAACATAAAAGTATTCAATGCATAAACAAATAAACTTTAAAAAAAAACATTGAGTAGATTTTTTATTTTATATACCCACTAAAATACTAAATCAAATAAATAAAAATAAACATCCTGTGTAATTCCTGCCAATAACTGGCTAAAGCAATTTAAAAAATATTTAGGAATCATCATCATTAGTATCATGATCTGAAAAATTTATTGATCCTTCTAGTGGCTCCTCAGTCACAACTTTTGTTTCTTCGTTTCGTTTTTTAACCTGTCTGATATGGGTTGATGATTGTCGTAAACCGGACATTTGTGCACGTTTTTTTGAATTTTTAGTAATTGTTTTAAAAAAATTCTGCAATTCGACTTCAGAAAAATTTTCATATTTCTGTCTTACTATTCTTAAAAATACTCTTAAAATATTTTTGCACATTTTAATTGCACTTTTTTGCTCATCATGTCTACTCACACCACTACAAATGCACTCGACCATAAATTTCCTGGTGAAGAAATAGTCCAACAACACATAACATGTGTTCATACCACGGGTATCCACAGAGTTTCCAATAATTTTATTCATATATTGAACCTATTGACAAACAAACCCATTAACATTTTGTGACCTGTAAAATGTAAATATCTGATTTTAACTTAAAATGAGTAGGTACTCTTTTTTTATGCAGGTATAATAACACTCTGCATATCAGAAGAACTATTTGCACATATTACAATACCAGATTAAATATTTTAGAAAAATCTGTTCATACTTTTGGCTGCATAAAAAAAGACTTACCACTTGTTCTTCAAATTCCGGAGTTTGGAGGTTTTCTTCTAAATTTTCTAATTCTGCTTTTAAAGAGACAAGCTCCAATGTAAACATATCAGCTGCACTCTGTACTGCTGCTCTGTTTTCAGTTATAGCAGCAAGTTTTATATCAAAGTTAGTTTTTATAGCTGCTATGGTTTTAGCCATTAATTCTCCCACCGAGTTGAGAATTTGACTTGTGGCAGAGTCAATTTTTTGAATGATTTCTTGTTTAAATTCCTCCAAATTAGTGCCCTGTAATATTAAAATTATAAAGTATTGATTGTGATAAAGTACTTAGGTAAAAAATGTACAATAGACTATACTCACAGACACATCAGGTTCTGGCAAATTTATAAAGCTTGTATTCATGATATCATTTGCATTAATAATGTTGCTTGATCCTGCTTGTGGCAGTTCATCAGGTTCTGGCGAATTTATGAAGATATCAGTTGCTCTAATAAAGTTACTTGGTCCTGCTTGTGGCCGTTCATCATCAGGTTCAATCAAGTTTAATTGAAGGTTCGGTACTCCTAATACATGACATAAATCTGTTTCTGTAGCAGTGGAACTTGGCATAGCTGTGACTTTTTTTAATGGAGGCTCTTCATCACGTCTATTACATTCTTTTAATATTGAATTAAAATTTGTTCTCTTGTTAGTAAGTTTTTTATTTTTTTTTCTTAAAGTTATGACTGCGGACGTGTCTGTATCATGCCCTGATAGATTTTCTGCTTCAATCTCACCTTCCTCGTAAGTTTTTAAATGCATGTGTTTAATCTTACACGGTAATTTGGTCCACGAATTTTGTGGCTTGCATGTTTCATCCCTTACAAGCGCACTGGCATTAATACTGTTCGGCCACATTAAAATTCCATTTTTAACCCACAACTGGGGTATAGTCGTCATTAATTTCTGACCTGCCTCTATTGTTTCTACTAAGCAGAATCCTGAAATTATAAGAGTTAAAACTAGAAAAATGTAATTGAATAAATAGATTTTATTAATTAAAATACTAAATAATATCCTTTCTTACCCAGATTGTTTGATTGCATTTTTATATGCACACCATATAAACAAATCCAAACTGAAAAATTGTAGAGGTTAAGTTTTATTACCGTCCTTCTCTGCCTGTACGTGGCCCGCGTACATCGATATATTAGGTTAATGCAGCTATTCAGCCACTATTCAACATGGATTTAATACCATTATTCGCAAACACCAATCATGTGTTCGATTGGCGCAGCGGTTAGAGACCACTCAATTGTAAAATGTTCGTCCAACGGGTCCCAGGTTCAATCCCCAGCCGAAGCAAGGAAAAAAATAAAGGTAAGTAAAAATATATTTGTAAATTTAATTTAAATAGCATGTAGTGACTGTTGTAATTGAGATATATAAATAATATAAAATTCAGAAATTAAAAAAAATTATAGTGCATATTAATTTATTTTTGCTTTGAAGGTAAACTGAACAAGAGCTAAAAAATTGAGCTGCATAGAAGCTTTTTCAGCAATTTAAATACACTTACGGCTGATGCGGCTGAAAAAAAATTGAAACGTCTTAGCGATGGCTGCATAAAGGCTGAACTACAAGACTGAATAAGATCTGAAGAAGCTATTCTTCAGTCATGACTGGGAGCTCCGATGATGATTAATAGCTGAATAAAATCTCCACTTTTGGGTGAATAAGAGCTTAACAAGGGTTTATTCAACATAAGTTTGATACCAATATTCAGCTTTAGACTGAACAATAAACCGCTTAAGCGCTTATTCAATCAATAATTAGCATAAATTGTTACTTGAGTATGGTTCTATTCTTAGATACTCTTTTAAACGCTTCTTAAAATTAACTGAATTGTAGGATCTAATTTCTGGCACAAGTTTGTTATATTCTTTGGATGCTACATAAGAAAAGGATCTATAAAGAAATGCTGTTTGGTATTTAGGTATGACTAAAGGTCAGTTAGTTTAGGCGCTGATCTAGTAATTAACGACTTATTATTATTATAAAATTGCGTAATATATGACCAAGAAACTATTTTATTAGAAACAAGAAAAGCATATTTCAGTTACATGTTTCTCATAGCCTTGATGAGGTGAGGTGTATCGAATATAAAAAAAAATTTGGTCGTCAAAAATAAAATGGTCTCTCAGGGGTTATTTGCAAAAAGTTTTTACATTGAATATATTATTGGAGCCCACATCACTAAGGGTAACAATAACATTTCAATATTCCTTAACTTGTTATTAGCATCAAAAACTATATACTTTAACTCTAACCCAGGGCATGTACTATTGTAAAAAAAATAACTTCCAATTAGAGAAGATTCCCTGACCAACAAGACAGTGGCTGTTCTTGCTGGTTTAAATATTTTTTCCCATTGCCGGGATCTTTCACGCCTACAACATAATCCGCACTACGGTTAAAAAAAATTGCCTTTATGATTATCTCATCCACACATAGTACACAATATTTGTCCATTTCATTAAAATTGTCAGCTTTAAGTGTTTTGAATACATTGGGGACTTCCAAACCTGGTAGGATGTCTATCCCACGTAATAAGATTCTAAGGGATTGCGGCACAGGCAGGCAAAATAATTTAGTTAGAAGTGTTTTATAAACCTTTGCGCCAGAGAAATATAGTGATAAACACTTAAGTATAAATTCGTCCGAATAACTTCGACCTTTAGCTGATTTCACGCTTTGAGTAATCTGTACATTAATAAATTCTGCGAATTCTTCTTTGGATGGGCACAGTAAATACGTACAAGTTTTGTACTGTTCGAGAGTGATCGTGTCTTCCAATTTTTCTTGAAGCTTCTTTTCAAGATTGTTACATTTATTAAGAAGGACCTTTTTATGCTTTTTACGCCTGCTTCAACTGAACCTTTAAAATGTGGTGCACTAGCCAGACTGGGAAGCTAATGAATTGTCTCTTTAGCTACAGCTTGCTCCATTAATCTCAAAAGTTAACGTTTATCTCCTAAGAAATTTGTACCACAATCATTGTACATTTGCTAAAAAGGTTTCAGTTGTTAAACTGCTACAAAGCTCGAGATACATTGCTTTTGTAGCAAAACACACAAAAATACAAAGGTATGCTTTACAAGTTTTAACACCTCGATGTCGAGACATAGTTACGTTAAATGGACCAGCAAAATCCACTCCTGAGCGAGAAAATAATTTTACCTCAGTAGGTGACTGTTTCCAGCACCGTAGACACTTTGATGGTACTGAATTTATTGCACGCTTTACAGATAAAATCCAAAATTGTTGAGATAACAAGAAATGGGTGCTTCAAAAACTAGAATAAAAATATTTTTCATAAACATAGCGAATTACGAGGGTCGTCAAATGACTTTTATTAAGTAATAAAATCGGATATTTGGCGGAATAAGAAATAGATGCATGTTTGAGGTGGCCTCCTACGCGAGGAATATTTGCATCATCAACGAAAACATTTAATTTTTCAAGCGGTTTGGAAAATTTTCAAGATTGAAGTTCCTCTCGGAAATAAGATTTTTGCAGAATAAAGTTTATTTTTAAAAAGCGGCCCTTGTTTTCGAGAATCATAATGTTTAGCTCTCGGTAATGCGTTAAAAAAGAAGCGGAAGACTATATTTTGAATTGAGCGAAGAGACGTATATTTTTCTAATATTATTCCAGTTCAGTTATTATTAGGTGTTAGGGAAAAAAGGGTAGTAGTTTTTCCTCCTGGCTTTCTGGTGGAACATAGATAGCTGGAATTTTAAAAAGTGGCCAAAATTTGTCAGATTTTCTTAGGAAGGCGAGACCAACGAGCCATGTTTTATTTGTAAGTAACTCTAAAGGGAAAGCACCCCGAGAAGCTATATCAGCGGGGTTAGTATGAGTGTCTACATAATTCCAAATATTAGGGGGGAAATTGTGTTGTATAAACGAAATGCGTTGAGCGATAAAGGTCTTCCGGCGATGAGAAGCACCTTTTTTTTTAATGTAAAGCGATTTGAGAGTCACACCAGGCATAAATACAAGTTAATTTGATGGTTTTTGTAAAAGTGGTCTCTACATGTGTTAACATTTTTGTTAGAAGGACGCCACCAGAAAGCTCTAAACGATAAATGATATTTATTATTTTACATATTTTATAGTTGAATAGTTATAAGTATATTTCATAATTTCCTTTATTAGTGCATCGACAATTAAATAATTTAAATCTAGTGTTATTGACTTTAAGGACTGTCTACTCAGCAATAACCCGGTTGTTACATGATGTACGTTGTGCGCTGATATATCAAAAAGGATAGATAGAATGTAGAAACCAGAATGTATTGATGTATTGAGTTGGCATGCATAAAGTATGCGAATAAATTGGGATTTTATATAAAATGAGTTTTAATTAATTTTCTTCGATAAACAAGGAGTTAGTTTACCACATATCGTTAATCTTTTTATCGGAGAAATTTTGGATTTAGAGCATACAAACGCGGTATGTACATTATTATGTTCATCGAACATTCAAAAATAAATCACGCAACTGTAACCCTTCTCGCTGGCATCATAAAACCCATGAAGTACCAACGAGCTCAGAGAGGAGGGTTAATTCGCGCTAATATTGAGTCCAAATTCGAATAATAGACTCGTCTGGAGTAGCATCCCAATTTAGTTTAAAAATCCAAAGTTTTTCAATTAAATATTTGCAGAAGAATGTGACTGGTAAGATAACGCCTAAGGGGTCATGTATTCTGGCAAGTTCAGTTAGCAGGATACGTTTTGTACTCGATCGATTTGTAATTGGATTTACCAAAATGAAAAAGCAATTATCAAGCGGGTCCCATTGAAGGTCAAGCACTTTAATAGTACTAGTTTGCGAGTTGATATCAAAATGAAGAGTGTCTTTCGAAATATCAGAAACGGAAATATTGTCTAAGGTAGAAATATTAGTACTGGACCATTTATGTAAGAGTAAACCTCCTAGTTGAATGAGAGAGTTTAATTCAAAAATAGTTTGTTTAGCTATTTCTAAAGTAGGGCTAGAACATACAAAGTCATCAACATAACAAAAGTCCTTGATAACCCTGGCGGCGAGCGGAAATTTGTTGCCTTCATCTTCAATGAGTTTTTTAAAACTCGTAAGGCAAGATATGGTGCGCTATTGATACTGTATGTAACACGGGTAAGACGAGAGTCCTGAACAGGTAAATTTGGTGCAAAACGCTACAGAATTCGTTGATAACCATAGTGTTGAGTATCAATTAAGATCATTCTGTACATTTGTTTAATGTCGGCACAAATAGCCCAGGGATTAAGGCGGAAATTTAATAAGATATTCACAATATCTTGTTGAGAGAGAGAGATATGCTTTATTGTCGTAAAAAAAATTTACAAAAATTTTATAGACAAAGCGTGTAACTTAAATACTAAACATATTATAAAAATAACTAAACAGCAGAAAAAACAAACAGAAACAAACAGACAAAATAGGAATAACAATTGCAATGGATATGCAATATCCGTCATTATAATTATTCTAATTTAAATTTAAATTAGAATAATTATAATGACTTTAATATTTAATTATTTAATTAATGCCATTGTATGTGGAACTCAAATGTCTAAGGTACGTTATAAAATTCTGCTACTGTGTAATATGGTCTTTCTAGAAGAAAAGCTTTAGCCAGTCTTCGGAACTTATCGTATGTATTTATAGATTTTAATTGCATCGGAAGGTTATTATACAATTTTTTGGCATTGTAGGTAATGGAATGTTTTAATAGGTCAGAAGTGGGCATTGTTAAATAAACATCAGTCTCTAAATTTCTTGTAGGATATCTACGAGTCGGTCTTTCGGATAAATTTTGAATGTGCTTGCGAACTAAGCAGACGGATTCGAAAATAAATAGAGCAGGAAGGGTTAGAATTTTGAAATTTTTGAAGTAATTTTCGTAATGTGTCCTACTACTTAAACCAAATACATAGCGGATTGCTCTTTTTGCAGTTTTTGAAGTAAACTGTGGTGAGTCTTTGATGAGCAATGACGAAAATGTTGTGTGATTCGACATGACCTCTAGTCATG